CTTGGCCTCCCAAAGAGCTGGGATTACAGATGTGAGCCACCGCGCACAGCTGTAGCCCTTCTTTTTAAGGAAACTGTGACTGGTGCAGTGCCTTATTTACGCCTGTAATTCCAGCACTTTGGAAGGGCAAGGTGGGCAGATCACAAGGTTGGGAGTTTGAGACCAGCCTGGCCAACATCTCTGCATACAAAAAGTAGCTGGGTGTGGTGGCAGATACCTGTAATCCCAGCTACTCAGGAGGCTGAGGCAGGAGAATTGCTTGAACCCAGGAGGCGGTGAGCTGAGATTGCACCATTGAACTCCAGCCTGGGCAACAAGATCGAAACTCCATCTCAAAAAAAGAAAGGGGAGGGGAGGGGAGACTGACGCTCAGTGAGGTTAGGTGACTGATATGAGGTCATATACCCCCTGAGAACTGTGCCAGGGTTTGAACCCCAGTACACCTGTCCGATTTGGGTATTCTGCATGTCCAGCCCCTCCCCCACTGCCTCATCTCATGTGCCCTTTCACTCCAGTCCTTAGTTCCCTCCTCCACGCCAGCTGTTTATCCCACAAGTTTATTTAGGATAAACTTGTCTGTGGGAGGATTGCTAGCTCCAAAGGTTGCACATAAGGAGACTCCACAAACCTGCAGATGATGCTTCCACTGTCAGGTTGAAAGCAGGTCTCCTCTCTGAGCTTGGCATCGGGCCAGTCACCTGGAGGAATCCCAAAGCGGTGATAGAAGCCCCTGAGCATCCTTCCTGCCCTCCACGCCGTCAGGAATGTCAGCTGATGCTGTCTCCAGGTGAGCGGAGACATGCAGGTGCGTTCCTGAGTCACACACAGGTCACGTCCCTGGCAGAAACCCAGCCTGCTCTCCAACAACACCCTCCAGCCGTTCCCAATATCACGCAGATGATAGAGCAGTGAGACAAAAATTGGACGAGTGAGGCCGGGTGTGGTGACTCATGCCTATAATCCCAGTACTGTGGGAGGCTGAGGCAGGTGGATCACAACGTTGGGAGATCGAGATCATCCTGGCCAACAAGGTGAAACCCTGTCTCTACTAAAAATACAAAAAAGTTAGTCAGGCATGGTGGCGTGCGCCTGAAGTCCCGGTACTCAAGAGGCTGAGGCAGAAAATCACTTGAACCCAGGAGGCGGAGGTTGCAATAACCCAAGATTTCACCACTGCACCCCAGCCTGAGTGACAGAGCAAGACTCTGCCTAAAAAACAAAAACAAAACAAAAAAACTAGATGACTTGGCCACCAGTAAAGGAGGCCCAGGGTTTAGGGTTTAGTTCTTTAGGTGGAACAAGCCCAGTTATCCCATGGAACTGATGTTTATGGTTTCTCTGAATAAACATAGAAATTGATCCTCTCAATCATTCTTTTTTTGAGACAGGGTCTCACTCTGTCGCCCAGGCTGGAGTGCAGTGGTGCAGTCTCAGCTCACTGCAACCTCCACCTCCTGAGTTCAAGCAATTCTCCTGCCTCAGCCTCCAGAGTAACTGAGATTATAGGTGCACGCCAGCACACCTGGCTAATTTTTGTATTTTTAGTAGAGACGGGGTTTCAGCATATTGGCCAGGCTGATCTCAAACTCCTTACCTCAGGTTATCTGCCTGCCTCACCCTCCTAAAATGCTGGGATTACAGGAGTAAGCCACCACGACTGGCCTTAATTGCATTTTCTTAATGAGTATTAATGATAATCACCTTTTCAGGTGCTCATTAACCATTGTGATGTCTTGTTTTGTGAAGTGTTTGTGTTCATATATTTTTGCCTAGTTAAAAAAAAAAAAGAGCTGTCTATGTTTTTCTTATTGACGTGTAGAAGTTCTGGGTGTGAGTCATTTGTCAAAAACATATGTTGCAAACCTATGTATTCCTAAGGCTTGCCTTGTCATCCTCTCCTAATGGTCTCTTGATGAACGGGCCATTTTTCTCAACGGTGATGAAGGCCAGTCTTTCATTTTGTGATTAGCACTTTTTAAAGAACTGGTTTTGTTTTGAGATAGGATCTCGCTCTGTTGCGCAGCCTGGAGTGCAGTGGCGCGATCGTAGCTCACTGCAGGCTCAAACTCCCAAGCTCAAGCCATCCTCCTTCCTTAGCCTCTGGAGGAGCTAGGATCACAGGCCCAGACCACCACACCTGGCTGATTTTTGTATTTTTGCTGAGAGTGGGTTTGCCTATGTTGCCTAGCCTGGTTTCAAACTCCTAGCCTCAAGCAATCTGCTTGCCTCAGCCTCCCAAGGTGTAGAGATTACAGGGACGAGCCAACATGCCTGCCTTAAAGTACGTGTCTAGATGACTTTGTTTATCCCAAAATCACAAGGCATTCCCGTTTCCTTCTAGCAAAATTGTTGTTTTTACCTCTCACATCTAGGACTATAATCTATTTCAAATTAATTTTTGGATATGGTGTGAGGTAGGGGGCTTTTATTGAAAAGACCATCCTTTCATCAGTGATTTCCAGTGCGTTCCTGACCCTATGGTTAGAATTACCTTCTTTAGGCACTCATAGGATCACTCCATTTTCCCATCTGTCTTCAATGGCAGACCATTGCTCTTATGGACAATAATCAGATGATGATCAGCTCCTTGTGTAACAGCACCCAGCTTGATCTGCCACCTCCTGTTTCGCCTGCCAAATCTTGTCTTGTGTCTGTCTGCATTTCCACTTTGAATACAGAGTTCTTTGATCAGGTCACACCCTCCTCCCCAAGCCCTTCCCATGTAGTGTTTTCATCCTGTTGGACTACTTAGTCAAACTTCAAGTCTCATTTCTTCCAGAGCCTTCTCAACAACACATTCCCTGTCCTTTAAATCTAGGTTGAATGACTTCCATATATGTGTTTGTCATACCCCTGAGTTTCTAATTATATTTATGTGTTTATTTTATTTTTTGAGACGGGGGTCTCACTCTGTTGCCAAGGCTGGAGTACAGTGGTATGATCTCAGCTCACTGCAGCCTCCACCTCGTAGGTTCAAGCAATTCTCCCACCTCAGTCTCCTGAGTGGCTGGGATTACAAGGGCGTACCACCACATCCGGATAATTTTTACATTTTTAGTAGAGACAGCGTTTCACCATGTTGTCCAGTCTAATCTCGAACTCATGCCCTCAGGTGATCCACCTGCCTCAGCCTCCCAAAGTACTGGGATTACAGGCGTTGAGTCACCATGCCTGGCCTTTTTTTTCTTCTGCTCTGTCATCTGTCCAGGCTGGAGTGCAGTGATGCAATCTTGGCTAACTGAAACCTCCACCTGTTGGGGCTCAATTGATCCTCCCACCTCAGCCTTCTAAGTAGCTGGGATTACAGGCACCTGCCACCACACCCAGCTAAATTTTGTATTTTTAGTAGAGACAGGACTTCATCATGTTGGCCAGGCTGGTCTCGAACTCATGGTCTCATGATCCACCCACCTCAGCGTGATCCACTCCGGACCTCAGGTGATTCACTCCTCCCAAAGTGCTGGGATTACAGGTGAGAGCCACTGAGCCCAGCCTTCTAATGATATTTAAATATCTCCCCTACTATAACTTCTCTGAGGGAAAGGAGGCCTATTTAGTTCGCATGAGGGGTGTGTCAAAGTACTGTTGAATGAATACATTTAAGGGACAATCCTGTCCCAGGAACCCAGAAAGCATGGACCTTGGAGAAACAAGGACGTTTCCAGTGTCAGATCTAGTGCTTGGCAAATAGATTATTATTTTCGAGGCTCGATTTCCAAATCTGTAAATTAAGATGTACTATTCTCTACATAGGATTGTAGTGGGCATCAAATAAGATAATGTGGCTGGTCGTGGTGGCTCACACCTGTAATCTCAGCGTTTTGAGAGGCTGAGGCGGGCACATCACTTGACGCTAGGAGTTCGAGACTAGCCTGGGCAACATAGTGAGACCCCACCACCACCACCTCCATCTCTACAAAAAATTAAAAAGTTAGCAGGGCAAAGTGGCGGGCGCCTGTGCTCTCAGTTACTTGAGGTTGAGGCAGGAGGATCTCTTGAGCCTGTGAGTTCGAGGCTGCAGTGAGTGTGATTGTGCCTCTGCACTCCAAGCCTGGGCAAGAGAGGGAGACTTTGTCTTTAAAAATAATGAAATGGTTAAACCAAATTTCTTCTCTTCAGAGGACAGTAAAAAAAGAAAATAATAAAATGGGCCGGGCGAGGTGGCTCACTTCTGTAATACCAGCACTTTGGGAGTCCGAGGATGGCGGATCACGAGGTCAGAAGTTCAAGACCAGACTGGCCAACATGGTGAAACCCGGTCTCCACGAAAAAATACAAAAATTAAGTGGGCATGGTGACTCGTGCCTGTAATACCAGCTACTTGGGAGGCTGAGGTAGCAGAATTACTTGAACCGGAACTCTGGAGGCGGAGGCTGCAGTGAGCCGAGATCGCACCACTGCACTCCAGGCTGGGCTACAGAGTGAGACTCCATCTCAAAAAAATAAAATAAAATAAAAATAATAATAATAATAATGATAAGGTAATGTGCAGAAGTATTCAGCAGTAATTGGCACGCGGAGGGCCCATTGAGATTTTTTTTCTTTTTTTGAGACAGAGTCTCGCTCTATCACTCAGGCTGGAATGCAATGGTGTTATCTCGGTTCACTGCAACCTCCGCCTCCCGGGTTCAAGCAACTGTCCTGCCTCAGCCTCCCGAGTAGCTGGGACTACAGACGCCCAGCTAATTTTTGTATTTTTAGTAGAGACGGGGTTTCACCATGTTGGTCAGGCTGGTCTCGAGCTTCTGACCTCAAATGATCCACCCACCTCGGCCTCCCAAACTGCTGGGATTACAGGCGTGTACCACCGCGCGCCGCGATTGAGTAAGAGGGTACGCAGAGAACAGACTCCCGCCCGCTCTTCCCCATGCACATGCGCGGCCGCCGCGCGCCCTCAACCAGGCCCTGCGCGCCCCTACGCGTCCTCACGCGTGCGTGATCCACCGGAACCCGAGCACGGGCAGGAGGTGAGAGGCGGGGCCTCCACAGTACGTATGCGCTGTGCGAGGCCGTGCGTCGCGGGGGGCGGGGTCGCGCAGTCGCACCGGCGCCCCGGCTCCGGAGCATAAACAAGAGCGGGGACGGGATGAGGCGGCGGTTGATCCCCGGGAGACTAGTGGTGGCAACGGAGGCGGCGAGCGGGGCCCGGCGCCGACACTGAGTGCAGCCTGACCCGCCCTCGCGCGCGCGCGCGCCCTCCCTGGCCGGGCCCACCCGCCGCGCGCCAGCCATGAACCTGGCGAGCCAGAGCGGGGAGGCCGGCGCCGGCCAGCTGCTCTTCGCCAACTTCAACCAGGACAACACGTAAGGCCAGAGTCGGGGTCAGGGTCTGGAGTTGGGGTCGGGGTGAGGCCGGGGTCGGGCCTGGGCCTTGGCAGCGTGGGGAGGTCTTCGCTGCCAAGCTCAGCGGAGTCGCAGTTTCGGCCTCCCTGTGGGCCAAGGCGAGCAGAGGCGTCCCCAGGGGCGGGCCTGGGGCGCGCAGGGAGGGGCGCCCTCCAGGGAGACCCTCGGGTGCTGCCCTGCAGCTGCGGCCTCGGGGCGGGAGAGGTGGTGAAGAGGCGGCTGCTTTCACCCTCCTGCGGGGAGGCCCCCTGGCTTTACACCTCAGTACTTCTCGCAAAGTTGGGGCCAAACTTTGGGGCTTGGCTTGTCTAGGCCGCCTGTGGAGCGGTGGGAGTGAGTCGCTTCCTCTTCTCTCCTCTCCCTGCTTCTTGCTTAGCGTCTCCTATCAGTCTCTTCTGAATCAGCCCCTTCTCACTGTCTCTTCATCGTCTTAAGGCCCCTTCTCTCTTTCTGATGTTCTTTTCTTTCTCATTGTTCTTTTTTTTTTTTTTTTTTGAGAGGGAGTCTCTGTCACCTCGCAGTAGCGTGATCTGATATCAATGCAACCTCCACCTTCCGGGTTCAAGCAGATCTCCTGCCTCAGCCTCCCAAGTAGCTGGGATTACAGGTGCCCGCCACCATACCCTGCTAATTATTTTGTATTTTTAGTAGAGACGGGATTTCAACATGTTGGCCAGGCTGGTTTCGAACTCCTGACCTCAAGTGATCGCCCACCTCCGTCTCTCACAGTGCTGGGATTACAGGCGTGAGCCACCACGCCCAGCCCGCACTGTTCTTTTTGGCAGGTAACTTTGATGTCGTCTCTAGCAAGGAACAAACTTAGCAATAACCTTGGCATCTGGCCTACCTAGGGAGAACCTGAGCCAAGAGAGGGGTTACAGACCAGTGCCCCAGGAGTCTCGGAGCTCTAGGGGGTGGGTCATCCTCAGGGCAAGAGAAGACCTTAGTGCCAGCCCATGCATTCGGAAGCTGTTTGTCCACAGTGATATGAGTTAGAAGCTGGGTCTTCAGATTCCTGGGAGGAGGACTTGTGAGGATGGTTAATAGATCAGCTTTCTGGAGAGAGGAGGATGAGTTATGGGGTTGGAAGGGAGGAGAGCCATCTTGGAAGTGAGTAAGAGGAAGTGATGAAAGAGAGGAGGAGTGGGTCATGTGGCTTCTTACTAAGTAATTGGTTGAGTTGTTACTGCCTGAGTGGAATTAAAGCAGAAAACGAGATTTTTTTTTTTTAAAGGAAATTTAAAGTTTAGAATGGCCAATATCCAGTGGATGGTGTGCAGCAAGTGTTCAATAGCACTGTCACAACGCTGTGAAGACAGTCGCACAGTTGGACTATGTGAGAGTTGGAAGGGGCAGATCGCCTCATCCCACCACAGATGAGGAACTCGTTCTGAAAGGTTCTGAGCTGGCCTGGGTCTTAGAATTGGTTAATTGTGGAGTGGGAGCAGGAGTCGAGTCTAGCCTCCTGAGTTCTCTCCCAATATTATTTCTGCTCTGCCATGCTGGTTTTTTCTACCTGTGGAGTAGAATTCTGAAGACAATGAATTTAGAAATCATAGCATAACAATGTGTAAAGATTACTGTAGTGTTCAATGTGACCAAAAGCCAGACAGCAGAAACAGTTCAGACAGCCTGTTGCAGTTGAAGTGGAATAGACTATGTTCAATCCAAGTAGGGAAGAGGACATTCCAAACCAATTGTGATTTGGTTTTGAAGCCCAAGCCCACAGTATTTTGAGACCAGTAAGAAATGGTAGTAGGGGGTTTTATGCCTTATATAAAGTAGAGAGTTTCCAAAACATCATCAACCACTCTTTCAGTTTTTCACTAATTATTTACATCAGAATGAAATCAAATAAAGAAAAGCATTCTCTTTTGCTGTGACTTCAGCTAGACTGCCATGTTCCCAGTGTAATAGAAGAATGTCACTGTGGCCTGAATTAGGATCTTTTCACACTTGGAAATTTTCACATTTACCCATGTTTCTATGTGCCCTGGAGTTATTATGTTCAAGAAATTGTAACTTTGGGATTTCATAACTTTGACTTGTCGGAGAGACCTTGATGTAGTGTAAACCTAAATTGGAATGAAGAGTAAGTTAGGGTTATACTCAAAGCTGACTAGACCAAAATGACTGTAATTTGTTTTAAATCTACCATTGAAAGAAACAGAGAAGTTCCCGGAGGGAGCTTTAATGGCTTTTACCTTTTCCTCCCTTCTTAATCTCCAGAATTTATTGAGGAACATAATTTTTAGCAAGACAAAGAATGTCCATCTAGAACTCACATTGACTGTATTCGGTAAGAAAATTTGGAAGCCAGTTCTCTTACTATAATATATGTTAGTTATAGGGTCATTTCACTTTTTTTGTCTTTTAAATTTTTTCTGTAGTCGTTACATATCAAACTATAACTGTCCTGCCTTTCTTCTTGTACTGGTAATATGATTTCCAATATTGTACTTTCTCATGATTCTTATCTTAAAAGTGTAAATAAGTTTTATTTGCATTTTACCATCTGTTTGTTTTTGTTTTTGTGTTTTTTTTTTTTTTTTTACCTAGAGCAGTGAAAAGGGGATCAAGAGCAACTGGTCCTGGCCATCGCGCTGTTGTCTGGTTAGTTCCAACCCTGGTTTCTGAAAGTATCACCTTGGAAGGCTTATGTTAGAGGACTTTTGGCTTTCTGAAATTGAAGTGAAATTAATAAGTGGCAGAGGATCACTTGAATCTTAAATGGAAATACCAAGGACTAAATTTTTCCGGTGGACACTGCAGCTTGTGGGAAGTTAGTGATGTGGCAATGTCTATTTTAAACGCCACATGTAAAAGGGATGGCGTAAAGAAGGGACTTGACTTTCCAAGTCTTGTGTTTGCAGAATTTATGTTCTGAAGTGTCTGGGAACAATAGGAGAAACCTATTTGCTTCTACCATGTCTCTTGTAGGTTACGTCATTGTGCTGGAAAGGTACTGCTCTCCTCTCTCTGCTCATCTGTTAATCAAGGGTTTTGGTTTTTGTATTTGAGATGGAGTCTCACTCTTGCCCAGGCTAGAGTGCAGTGGCACAATTGTAATGATCATAGCTCACTGCAGCCTTGAATTCCGGGGCTCAAGTGGTCCTCCTGCCTCAGCCTCCCGAGAAAATGGGACTCTAGGCATGGGCCCCCACACCTGGCTTATTTTAGTTTTTGTAGGCAAAGGGTCTTGCTCTGCTGACCAGGCTGGTCTTGAACTTCTGGCTTCAAGCTATCTTCCTGCCTCAGTCTCCAGAGTATTGGGATTACAGGTGTGAGCCATTGTGCCCGGCCTGAAGATGGTTTTTAAGATCCTTCACCCTGAAAGTGTTAAGTCGTTCTGCCTGCTCTGCAGGAGGGTATGTTGGAGGAGGGCAGGGGGTGACTGAGGAGGATATTGTCCAACAGCAGTGACCACTGGGAAGGAGACTGACTCGTCATCGGGACTTGTGTGACCCACAGGACGTGCATCATGCAGCCAAGGAAGAAGTTAGGTGACGCCCAGTTTCTGGCTTGGGTTCTGGATGAACGTGATAACATCATGGTGAAAAAGCCTAGAAAGAGCGACCTCTGCCCGGGATACTGATGAGTCAGAAAGGCTGCAGGGATAGGGAGGTGGAGGTCTGGAATGGAGAGGATGTGAGGCGGAGCGGGGATGGGGCAAGCTGTCCATAGCCCTGAAAGAGAGGGCACCAGGGCCTACCCACTGGAGGTCTGGACTGGCAGCCACAGTTGAGGTTGCTTTAGGTTACAGTGTTGGGCTGTATCCATCTAAGCTCGCCATCGAGTATGGCTCCTCTGCAAAGATCATGAAGGAGGAGAGCCTTTACGGACTGACAATTAGGGATGGTGGAGAAAAGGAAGTTAAGCAGAAGATCTGACTCACATCTTCATTTTTTAGTGGCCATCACTGTCTTTTTAATGTTGAAGGTTCAAGTTTAAATTCATTGACAGAGGCTTTCAGTTCAAAATGATGGATCAGACATAAACATTTATTGTGGCTCCATCCCCAGGCCCTAATAAAATGTTAATCAGTAAAATATCAAAAAGCTGTATTTTCTAATTTTAAACATTTCTTAATTTTTAATTTTTGTAGAGATGGGGTTTCACTTTGTTCCCCCGACCGGTCTCAAACTCCTAGCTTCAAGTGACCCTCCTGCCTGAGTAGCTGAGATTGCAGATGCAAGCCACCACTCTTGGTCTCAAAAAGATATTTCAAAAAGCTTAAATCCATAGGATAGAAAGAATGAGAATGGAGATACTAGCCAGTTTGGAAGCTAGCAAGTGGTAAAGGAAGCTGGATCTAAAATTGCTAATGGAGAAAGCAGAGAAGCAACATAGTTTAAACTGCAAAATCCCCGACAGGCTCAGGAATGGGCAGTCCAGGGCTCCAGACGCAGGGTGGTGGGGGTGTGAAATGAGGAGGATGGGTTCCAGTGTGTTTAAAATGCAGTGACTCTCCTTTCCTAGCAAGGGACAGGCCTGGTCTCTGCGGAGGGTAGAGCAGAGTCTCTGGGTTTTGACACCAGGCACAGTTGAAGATTGGGGTATTGAGCAAATACACTTTTTTGGTTATGATGTGCTAGTTTTCCTCTTTGTCAGTGAAAGATCCCACTGATGGGCCAGTTACAGTGCCTTATGCCTGTAATCCCAGCACTTTGCAAGGCCAAGGTAGGAGAATCCCCTGAGTTTAGGAGTTTGAGACCAGGTTAGGCAACATGGGGAGACCCTGTCTCTACACAAAACACAAAAATCAGCCGGGTGTGGTGGCATGCGCCTGTGGTCCCAGCTACTCAGGAGGCTGAGATGGGAGGATTGCTTGAGCTCAGGAGAGGTTGGGGCTACAGTAAGGCGAGATGGTACTGCTGCACTCCAGCCTGGGTGGCAAAGTGAGACTCTGTCTCAAAAAAAAGAAAAAATCCCACTCTGTTGCCGTAAAGAAATAAACATTTTTTGGCAATAAAACTGTGTTAGGGCAGATCTCATACTTGCTCTGCCTCTCCCATTAATATGTCAGCCATTTTATGGTCAGGTCAGTTTCAAAATGGTTTAAAGCAAAATCTCCATAGGTGTGTGGAACTCGATTGCTTGATGTTGAGATGAAAATATCAATTGTATTTATATTTAATACCATTCTTTAAAAATATTTACCTTTGGCCGGGCACGGTGGCTCAAGCCTGTAATCCCAGCACTTTGGGAGGCCAAGGCGGGTGGATCACGAGGTCAAGAGATCGAGATCATCCTGGTCAACATGGTGAAACCCCATCTCTACTAAAAATACAAAAAATTAGCTGGGCATGGTGGTGCGTGCCTGTAATCCCAGCTGCTCAGGAGGCTTAGGCAGGAGAATTGCCTGAACCCAGGAGGCAGAGATTGCGGTGAGCCGAGATCACGCCATTGCGCTCCAGCGTGGGTAACAAGAGCGAAACTCCATCTCAAAAAAAAAAAAAAAAAATACCTTTGGCCCGAGTGGTGGCTCATGCCTGTAAACCTAGCACTTTGGGAGGCTGAGTCAGGTAAATCACCTGAGGTCAGGAGTTCAAGACCAGCCTGACCAGCTAGTTTTTATATTTAGTAGAGACATGGTGAAACCTGGTCTCTAAAAAATGCCTATAATCCCAGCTACTTGGGAGGCTGAGACAGGAGAATCACTTGAACCTGGGAGGAAGTGGTTTCAGTGAGCCGATATTGTGCCATTGCACTCCAGCCTGGGCAACAAGAGCAAAACTTCATCTTAAAGCAAAAGAAAACTTATCTTTACTAATAATTTGTACTCATACTATATTATATATACATCTCAAAACATTTGGAATATTTTTGCTTTCCTTTCTGTTGATTGGAATGCACAGTTTTATAAACTGTGGGGTAAAACTTTTAGCTGAGGTATTTAATATCCTAACTCAGCTTCCAAATACCTGAATTTGATTGGCAAGTTTTAACAAATTCTGTGTGTAGGGAGCACAGCTCAGAACCAGGATTTCTAACCCAAGGATCAGGGGCTAAGGCTCATTAATTTTGCCCCTGGGAGAAGCCCTACCTAAGCTTATTTTATATATAATGCTAATAAGCTTGGTGATTTGGTTTCCAAGTTACTAAGAAATTAGGAAGGAGAAGGGCTGTTAAAGATGGTAGGATGGTCATGAGGAAAAGTGACAACTGTTGGCAAAACAAAAGATAGAAAACAAAATTTTTTTTTTTTTAGAAAAATATTTTTATAAACTCATTGCTACAGGCCGGGCGCAGTGGCTCATGCCTGTAATCCCAGCACTTTGGGAAGCCAAGGCAGGTGGATCACCTGAGTTCAGGAGTTCAAGACCAGCCTGGCCAACATGGAGAAACCCTATCTGTACTAAAAACAGGAAAATTAGCTGGGCGTGGTGGCAGGCGCCTGTAATCCCAGCTACTCAGAAGGCTGAGGCAGGAGAATTGCTTGAATCTGGGAGGCGGGGGGTTTGCAGCAAGCCAAAATCAAGCCACTGCTCTCCAGCCTGGGGGACAGAGCGAAACTCAATCTCAAAAATAGATAAATAAATAAACTCAGCACTACAGTCTGGCTGTTTGATATGGGGTACACCAAACCCTCAAAAGAATTTGTCATCCCTAGGCCGGGCGCAGTGACTCACACCTCTTCTCCCAGCACTTTGAGAAGCCCACACAATGGATCAGGAGTTCAAGACCAGCCTGACCAACATGGTGAAACCCCTCTCTACTAAAAATATGAAAATTAGCCAGGTGTGGTGGTGCATGCCTGTAATCCCAGCTACTCAGGAGGTTGAGGCAGGAGAATTGCTTGAACCCAGGAGGCAGAGGTTGCAGTGAGCCAAGATCGCACCATTGCACTCCAGCCTGAGCAACAGAGCGAAACTGTCTCAATAAAAAAAAAGGAATCTGTCATCCCTTGTTTTAAGGACACAGGAAGGTATATAATTCAGGAACAGTTTGTTTTTTAATCAGAAAATGGGAGTGGGGGAGTGATGCTTAAAATAGGAACCCTTAGTTATCTGGAAAATATTTTCCTTTACATCAGTTTCCCAAAAGTTCTGTGTTGCTGAGATTTTGTTTTATTTTTAACCTAGGGATATTACTCTATTCTTCTTGGTTCTTTTATTAATTTCAAAATACTTACAGGTAATACCTAATTGCTTCATTGCTATAACAATTGATACAATTCAGTGTAGTAAAGAAGCAAAGAATTTTTACAAAGAAAAATGATATGAACTGCTAGAGTTTTGTTTCTGTTCTTTTTATACTTGTAAGATGAACCAATGTGATTTTACAGATTAATACTGATTGTAGCAACTTTCTTCTTGGAATACATTTCTTCCACATACGTGCGAAAGAGTGGTTGGAAATCTCAAGTTTTTAATAAATGATATGATCATTAAACCAGCCCTGATCCTATCTTGGGGTACAAATACTCAGTGTGGAACATCCCCCTTCCCTGTTTCCAGCCCTCTGTTTTACCTGCTCATTTTCACCTTCTCCCAGACGTTCAAAGTGATTAAGGTGTCTGATTCCTCCACACCCAATGCTTCCTGCTCATTCACTCGTCTTTCTTTTGCTGAAAGCTGGTCTTGCTTCTTGTTGTGCTTTCTTTGGTCAGCTGGGTTCTGGAGAGGCACTTTTCTGATGAGGAAACCCCTCCTGTGGTATCCCTGAGGCCCCTGCTGGGAGGGGCTGCTGAGCTGTGAGCTTCTTGAGCGTCCTTGAAGAAGCAGTGGCGTTGGGTGAGGAATATGGGATCTTAAATGCAAGGCCATCAAACCAGTCCTCTGTTTTTTGTTGTCAGCCAATGATGGGGCCTTCTGATTCCAGACTCTAAGGTAGCTTTTGAGTCCGTTTCATTTCCACCCTACTGCTCAGCCATGGCACAGCATAAAGGATGGAGCCACAAGTGGTAAAGGCCTGCAGAAGTGCAGAGAGATACCTGCATCCACCTTGATTGTAAATATTTTTGTTTAAAATTTAGAAAATTTGCTCACCTTTTTTTTTTTTTTTTTTTTTTGATGGAGCCTCACTCTATCATCCAGGCTGGAGTGCAGTGGCACAGCCTCCACTCACTGCAGCCTCCTCCTCCTGGGTTCAAGCCAATCTCCTGCCTCAGCCTCCCAAGTAGCTGAGATTATAGGCGGTGTCTATCACCGTGCCTGACTGATTTTTGTATTTTTAGTAGAGACAGGGTTTCGTCATGTTGGCCAGGCTAGTCTCAAACTCCTGACCTCAGTAATCTGCCTGCCTCAGCCTCCCAAAGTGCTGGGATTGCAGGCATGAGCCACTGCACCCAGCCAGTTTACTTAACTCTCATACTCTGGCATATACTGTGTGTATATCAGCTCACTTGAAGGAGCTGATACATTGTTTTGAAGGAAACAATAATTTAAGGCTGATTACTTTTGCTTATAACCCAAACTTAAAAGTTTTACAGAGTTTGTTTTTTAGTATTTTTATTTTAATTTTCCCTAGCTTTATTTTGGTATCATTAAAATTGTGTCTGTTTAAGGTATACAATATGATGTTTTGTATATACGTACCTTTTGAAGTGATCACCACAGTCAAGTTAATTAACACATCTATCACCTCAAATAGTTACCTCCTTTTTGTGACAAGCACACTTAAGATCTGTCTTAGCAAATTTCAAGTACATAATACGTTATTGTGAACTACAGTCATCATGCTTTATGTTAGATCTCCAGAAAAAGTTTTTTGGTTTCTTGAGACTGTCTTGCTCAGTCACCCGGGCTGGAGTGCAGTGGCACGATCATAGCTCACTGTAGCCTCAACCTCCTGTCCTAGACTCAAGCAGTTTTCCCACCTCAGCCTTCCAGGTAGCTCCCTGGGACTACAGGGATACCCCCATGCCTGGCTAATTGTTTTATTTTTAATATTTTTGTAGAGATGGAGTCTTGGTATTTTGCCCAGGCTAATCTTGAACTCCTGGGCTCAAGCAGTCCTCCCACCTCAGCCTCCCAAAGTGTTAGGATTATGGGCGTGAGCCACCACATCCAGCCTCAGAAAAGTTTTACAGGTTTTAACTAATAATATTGTCCTTATTTTACTGACCTTGGGACACCTTCCTGTCCCAGGCACTTGGTACAAATGATGTGAAATGATCTGCTCTGATTTGTGGTAGGCATGTTGGGAACTAGCCGGGTACTCACTGGGAATGTGGGAGCTAATTTGTACACTTGCTCTCTGCATGTATCAGCTCTTATTTCTGAATTTGGCTTTTTTGCAGGTCCCTAGCTGTTGGTAGTAAGTCCGGTTATAAATTTTTCTCCCTTTCTTCTGTGGATAAGCTGGAACAGATCTATGAATGCAGTAAGTGTTTGCTTTATTTCTCCCCTTCTTAAAAAAATAAAAGACAAGTTGTACTTGAACTGGAATGCGGTCTAAAATTCAGGCACTGTGGTTGAAGTTCAGACACCCTTTGACCGGTCAGTCCTCTGCTTCCACCTTCATCTCCCAGGAGGCAACTGGTGACATCTGTAGGTGCCTGCCCAGATCAGTGCCTTTGCCCACATAGGAGTCTGGATACAGAAGGAGTTCTGTTCGTGAGGGTCTTCAGTACATGATCTCATACCATGTGTACTGTTCTGTAACATCTCTCCCTTTTTAATGCTGCTTAAACTGCCTAGATTACTGTCATAAAGGGCTTCCAGAAAATTGAAAATTTTACAGCCCCTGTAGGAACAATGTATTTTCTCGCATTGGCATTTTACAGTTTTGAAGCAGCCCGCCTGTCAGAGAGGCATGTGGAAGAGTGGGGAGGGTCAGGTTCATCGGCCTCTTGCTCACTCGTGTTGTGTGTGGTTCTAGGTGGATTACTTCATCTCTGGGCCTCAGTTTCTTTTATTTTTTACAAAACAAATAATGCAGGTCTATAAGATTATTGCCAAGATTAGAGATTATGTACGTGTGTACTTAACAGTGTGCAAAATAGTGCCTGCTGAGTAAACCCCCTGATGGAAACAGTGACGGGAAGCTTTGGACTCTTCCCACATGTGTCATTTTTAATTAAGATAATTATAGATTCACATGTAGGAAATAATACAGGTCCCTTGTACCTTTTGCCCTATTCTTCCCCATGACAACATCTCACAAAGCCCTAGCATACTATCATAGCCGGGATATTGACATCCACCTCTCCTTTGCACACTCTGCAGCCTTCCTTGTGCTCGTTTGTTTGTGTGTAGGTTCTGTGCAGGGTTTTTTTGTTTTGTTTTGTTTTGAGACACTTGAGCCACTGCATGTTGAAAGTTTGTTTTGTTTTTTTTTTTTCCGAGACAGAGTCTCACTCTGTCACGCAGGTGGGAGTGCAGTGGTGCAATGTTGGCTCACCTCCACTTCCCAGGTTCAAGTGATTCTCCTGCCTCAGCCTCCTGAGTAGCTGGGACTACAAGTGCACAACACCACACCCAGCTAATTTTTGTATTTTTTGGTATAGATGGGGTTTCGCCATATTGGCCAGGCTGGTCTTGCACTTCTGATCTCATGATCTGCTCACCTCAGCCTCCCAAAGTGCTGGAATTACAGGCGTGAGCCACCACTCCTGGCCAGTGTTTTGTTTTTGAGACAGAGTTTTGCTCTTACTGCCAGGCTGGAAGTGCAGTGGCGCAATCTTGGCTCACTGCAACCTCTGCCTCCCAGGTTCAATCGATTCTCCTGCTTCAGCTCCCGAGTAGTTGGGACTACAGGCATCCGCCACTACACCCAGGTAATTTTTGTATTTTTAGTTGAGACAGAGTTTTACCATGTTGGCCAGGCTGATCTTGAACTCCTGAACTCAGGATACCCACCTGCCTTAGCCTCCCAAAGTGTTGGAATTATAGGCATGAGCCACTGGGCCCGGTCAGGTTCTGTGCAGCTCCCTGTATCTCCCACAGTCAAGTTAGAACACCACAGTGCTCCTTCCTGCTGCCCTTTCATACCACACCCCCTCCCTGCTGCTGCCCCCGCATCTCACCCCTAATCTCACGCATCACCTGTCCTCCATTTCTAAAACTTGATCATTTCTAAAATATTTGATAAATGGAAGCATAAAACCTTTTGTGATGGCCCTTTTCAGTCAGCATCATTCCCTGGAAATGCATGCCAGCCGTTGTGTCTGTCAGCAGCTTATTCTGTATTACAGGGTAATACACCATGTTCTGTCTGTACCACAGCTTGTGTAGCCACCCACCTGTTAAAGGACGAGTGAGCTGATTCCAGTTTTTAGCTATTACAAATGAGACTGCTGTGAACATTCATGTACAGGGTTCTGTGGGGACATCAGTTTTCATTTGTCAGAGGCAGATGCCCAGGAGTGCAGTTGCTGGCCACATGGGAGTTGCATGTTAACATTTTTTGAGAAACTCCCAAACTCTTACTTTATGTTCTCATCAATAATGTAGGAGTGACCCTGTGTCTTTGCATCTTTGTTGGCACTTGGTGTTCTCACTGCTTTTCTAGCACCTCTGACAGACATGACACGTGTGCTGCTGCCTCATTGTGGTTGTGATTGCGTTACCCTATCAGGCCATCTCCTCATGTGCTGCTCTGCCATCTCTCTGTCCTCCCTGGTGAATCATCTGTGCACGTTCTTGTACACTTTCTAATTGGATTATTTGTGTTTTTAGTGTTGAGTTCTGCAAGTTCATTGTATCTGCTTGATACTCATCCTTGATTGGTAATGTGCCTTGTAAATATCGTCTCCTCTGTACGTGACACTTTGAGTATACCTGAACCTCCCTGTGGCCCTGACCTCAGTTAGGAATCCTGGTCACAGGAAGTGGAGGAGTTCAGCAGTTGCAGTACCCTTGGGATGAGTGATACTGGGATATCAGGTCAAGGAGAGTTCATCGTGATCATTTTAATTGTCTGCAGAGCTTTTGGGGAATTGGGCTTTCTCGTTGACAATGCCATTATTGCTTTTCTGAGTGTTCCGGTTTGAGGAACTTTGCTTTCACCGTGATTTAGTGTAACATTTTGAAATTCTGCTTTTCCTATTGACATCTCTCAAGAATGAGGAGGATCAGGGAGCTCATGTGGATGAACACTTAGTATTCATTGTTGTTTCCCTTCCCTTGTATGTGTTGATTGAGGGCTTGCCACAGGCCGATGCAGTTTCCACAGAGTTCCTGCTCTGATGATGCCTGCATTTCAGTGGAGGACAACCAAGAGCAAATATATAGGTGTCAGCTCTCAGGCCAGGAACACAGTGGTGAGCAGACAGACAGAGATAGCGCCCCCCATCTCCCCTTTAACATAAGATGAAGACACTGGGAAAAATCGCTTCTTTGTGCTGGTGACTTGAAATGATGGCGTTCTCCTGGCCTGCCAAGAGGTGGGGCCTTTTAGGCTCCCACTTGGGCCCTGGCCTCCTCTGTGCAAGTGATCCTGCATCCCTGCTCAGGGCTCCTGCTGGCTGGCTTAGGTTTTACGCCTTTTTTTTTTTTTTTTTTTTTTTGTCCTTAGACTTGCCTACTAGTGCTTACTAAATCTTCCAAAAAAGCCTTCTGCCATGGAGGCTGGGAGATGTGATCTGGGTGATGACATAGGTGTGAACCAGGGCTGTTTATCCCAGGTGCCGCTGCCCACCTTCCTGAAGCCCTGCCACCTGGCTGCCCTCACCTGAGCCACACAGGACTGCTCCCCAAGGGGGGTTTCTTCAGTGGAGGGCAGCCCTGTCTCTAGGCTTTTATGAATGAAACATCTCTTCAGTCCAGGTCCAGAGGAATGAAGCGCCTGAATTATGCTATTACATTATTGCAGGAGTCACTATAGTCATCTGTTTTGAAACACGCAGCATTTTTCCCCCTATTGGAGGCCAGTGCTTAGAGTGGAAGAATGCCAAAGCCTGGTCTTTCCTCTTCCTCAAATTGAAGTTTATTTACTGGCTTCTGGTGCCTTATTTTCCAGAGATTTTTTTGTGGAACAAAATGAGATGTTTTGATAGCATCTTTTAAAGAGTGGATATTGGCCAGGTACACTGGCTCGTGTCTATAATCCCAGCACTTTGGGAGGCCAACGCAGGTGGATCACCTGAGGCCAGGAGTTCGAGATGAGCCCGACCAACATGGCAAAACCCTGTCTCTACTAAAAATACAAAAAATTAGCCAGGTGTGGTGGTGGGTGCCTGTAATCCCAGCTGCTAGGGAGGCTGAGGCACAAGGTGAACCCAGGAAGCAGAGGTTGCAGTGAGCCAAGATTGTGCCACTGCACTCCAGCCTCAGTGACAGTGAGACTTTGTCTCAATAAGTAAATAAAAAATAATGAATGGATACTGACCAACATGGTAAGGTGGGTGCATGAATTTCTGTGTTCTTCTTAGTGAACTTTGGCCCTTAAAAATAGATGATGAAATGGACAAAGAATGTTTTAAGGGTTAATACTTTAAACTGAAGCTATTACATCGTTCTATTACTGGAATATTATCTGCCTATCCTCTTTCATATCTTTTTTTTTTGAGTAGATAAGAGAATGTCACTTAGAAAACAGGTTAGCACAAGGTGAAATTCTGTCTCTACTGAAAATACAAAAAATCAGCTGGGCATGGTGGCGCATGTCTGTAATCCCAGCTACTCAGGAGGCTGAGGCAGGAGAATTGCCTGAACCCAGGAGGCGGAGGTTGCGGTGAGCCGAGATCGCGCCATTGCACTCCAGCCTGGGTAACAAGAGCAAAACTCTGTCTCAAAAAAAAAAAGAAAACAGGTTAGCTACTAAGTGAAATGTCAAGATTGTTTTCTAGCATTTTTCTGTAAGTAGACTCAGAGTAAAGAATATTATTTCATGTCTCAATATTTAGTTCAGGCTCAGGATTGACTTCTACTTAAAAACTCCTTAACAATCTGTCATAAAATCAGATCTTTGCTGTCACTCACTGTGGCTGTTACAGAAAGAATGAGCCAGAGCTGGTCTTAGAGAAAAACAAGATTGACAACTACTTGTTCTTCTTTTATTTATTTAGAAAAGAAAATTCACACACACACACACGCGAAAGCTTGGTCTAACAGTACTGGAAGATAGATTTTCTACGATTGATGTTACAATTTCAGAGTTGAAAGTTGCAGAACTGCCAGATAGGCTTTGCCCATTGTTTATGGATGCCTCATATGAGGAGAGTCCCACTCTGTGTCACCCAGGCTAGAGTTCAGTGGCATAATCATGACTCCTGTACTCTCACCCTCCTGGGCTCAAGCAATCCTCCCACTTCAGCTTCCTGAGTACCTGGAACCACAGGCACATGCTACTATGCCTGGCTAATTTATTTATGATTTGTGTAGAGATGGGGTCTTGCTATGTTGCCCAGGCTGGTCTTGAACTCCTGGCCTCAAACAGTC